GCAGAATTTAATTCGGAATCAAATGGTGATACTTTTATTCTCCGACAATACTTAGGAAGAAATTTTACCGACACCTTTGTTTTCTTCTAAATAGGACAAGAAAAACCAGATAGAATTTTCTCAAAGTATTGCTGGGAAATAAAAGTATTACCACCCGATCCAGAATTAAATTCTGCATCGAATGGTCTGGGTTTTATGGGCCGGTAATACTTCTGAGAAGACTTATAGTTGAATCTCTGTTTCATCGTGCTAGCTCCGCCGTGCTAGCTTCACACTGGTGCTTTTAACACTATTCTCTTCGCTTTCCGAGCTGAAGGATTACGGCGAAATAGGGTGAAAATTAATGCCGTTTTATAGCCGTTTCAGATGGCAGGATGATCTTCCTGGGTGGGTATATGAAAAACATAAGAACTTTTTGTGTTTGTTTTTGGTGCGATACTTTTTTTGCCATCGATCATGGGTGTGGGTGTGGGTGCGGGTGTGAATCTCTCCATCAACATTCACACCCACACTCTTGTATTTTTTACTGTTGACATATTCTTTTACCCTTGTACAATCCGTTTCATTGCTTGTTTTTTTTTTATTAATGATAAAATTGAAGAATATTAAAACAATCAATATATTTATTTTTGACAATAACATTTTCATAAATCAGATAAGTCATCTAATATTCATCTGATATCAAATACATTAGCATGTTCAACATTTTTCTGTCATTGAAGAAAAAATATATTATTACGAACTGTTAACGAATAAATCCTTAGTTAAATCTTCTCGGATGTATTTTTTTCTTAATAATAGTTTTTCAAAAAATGTGTTTTCAATCAGAACAGGAAAATTTACTATATTTTTATTTTCTATTTCTTCGATAACTACACTTCATCTCATTCGATTATTAACAACGTTTTGATCGCATTCTTTTTGTTGGCGATGTTTCCTTTCTTGTGGCATGTTATATTCTTCTTGTTCTTTCTTTCTTTCTCGCTACATTCGTTCTTTATATGATTGAGTATTGTTTTTGTCCTTCATCTTTTTGTTGTGTGTTCTTTACAGGTGAATTACAAGACGAACAATGACCTGGCTATTTTTATTGCGTAATAGAAAATTACGCAATATTATTTCTTTTGCGCTTTTTATATATCGAAGATATAGAAAATACAGTTAGATAAGTTGTTATATGTGATTGTATACAATTCTATCGTTAGGAATTGTTTTAGTAATTTGTTCTTGTTGCTATGTCAAAACGTGAAATAAAAACATATATAGAACTTCGTTCTTATATATACAAGAGCAAATCTACACTTTTCTGTCTTATGCCACGTTGTGACACGTATTTATGAAAAGATACAATGACTAATGTAATCATGCTGTACTTCTATCACTTGTTCATAGAAATTAAAACTAAAAAGAAATTTTGCAGAAAATCTTTTTATCTGAGATAATCAACTCGAAATAAAATTGCTCAATAATTGTATAAAAAGAAATAAAGTCTAATTTAAAGATGAACTGATGGAGGAAGTATCAATAAAATTTTTAGATATAGTAAAATAGGACGAGTTGAAATGTATTTCCTTCTAAGGTCTTTCTTTTTGTTTATTCCAATTTTAAGATTAAGATTATAAAATTTTATATTATTTATTTAAAAATTAGTACTACGTTTTTTTACTCATTATTAACGACTTTTCTGGGTGAAAGAGAGACAATAGAGAGAATAAAACCACGTGCATTATCAAGCATGCAGATATTTATTTATAAGATGAAGATGAAGATGAATATTATTCTTAAAGATCGAAAGAATATCTTGAGGGTGTGGGTGTGGGGTGTACATGTAAGCAACATGATATAAAAATCATCCACACTCATACCCCACACCCGCCCTGAGTACCTTAAAACAAATACCTTGAATATCAAAACCATAAAAACAACCAAAAACATCGATATCAAAACCATAAAAACAACCAAAAACATCGATATCAAAACCAGATCAAAATTAATACCTTATCAAAACCAAGCGGTTTGATTTTGGTGCATGGCTAGCTCTGTGCTAAACTCATCACTTATTCCCCATAACAACCCTGAATTGCTGCTTAGAGGTAACAGTGACATATATTATAGTATTGAAAACATGAAAGGAAAAGGCATTGAGAAAAGTAGAGCGTTGTAAAAGTACTTACTGATATTGCTTTTCAAGATGAAATCAACATGAAAATGAATGATATAATCACGATTAAATAAAATAGTTCTAGCTTTACAAAAATTGAAGTTGTGTATGCTTATATATCAAACACTATTGCCTTTTAGTCTCGATTGCTGTTCTTTTATGATAAGCATCTACTTTATTACCCATTTGAAATATAAAAACAGATTTTTACTCCAGTATGATCCAAACGATGTTTTGAAATAAAACTCTTATGCCGTATCAACATTTGGTAATAAAGGAGAGGGGTGCATTACAAGCGAAACCGGTCCACTCCCATTTCGGAGAAAAAAATACAGGATATTGTACAGAATTTTACGGTGAATCTTTTAGTAGCCTGGGGCCTTTGATTCCATAGGGAATTTTAATTTTTGTGAGCACACGCATTTTTACTCAATTTTCACAACAGCCGCACCTATGAGGTACTGCCAAACATATGGTCATTGGGCTGAAAAAGGTCTAATATGAAAGAGCGCGAAATTCTGCTTCTTTCCATGCGAAAATCGCTCTGAGTCAAGTTTGCCATAGTGAACTTTATGCGACCAAAGAGTGTTTTTTTCGAAATTTCCTATAGTTCACTACTTGACGTCTATAGGACTCCCAGAAACAAACCTACTTTATCAGCTTGAACAAAAATTTCCAAGCCGAATACAATGCAAAACCCTAGAATTTTGAGATTTGTGGGCGTGAGTCTTGATCTAAGCCCCACACACCCACACCCATCTTTATCTTATACAAATAAATATGTAACATAATTGAATACAATATTTGGAAATATATTGCTAAGACATGGAAGATAATCAAATGCAAAAGGCAGTGAAAAAATTGAACATTCAGCTGTGTATATGCTAAGATAATTGGCGATAGTAGCTGTATTTTGTTGTCCGATATTTATCAACGTTTGCTAGATATGTTCACGAGATAAATCATGAGATAAATAACGAATATCAATATAATTAATAATATAGAAAGTGAACGAATGAAGTAGTGGCATATGAACAAGAATGCCATTTTGAACACAAGTCAGAGACCGAAATCGAATCGAATCGACTCCGAATGGAACTTCAAAACTACCGAATCGAATCGAATGAATAAAAAAAATTGAAAAAAAGCCGAATCGAATCGAATGATACTTCTAGAAAAGAGGTCGAATCGAATCGATTCATTTTTTTCAGTTTCATTCGGCTATTCAAAATCATTTTCTTTGTTCTGGTGTTATGGTCGAGGGCAGTTGACTAGTATAAGAGATGACGCATGAAAAAGGACATCCACTGTTTCTCTTTTTTTGTTTCTGTCAGTCGTGCTTATTTAATGATCATCCTTGTTCTGTTCATATCGTTATCATGGTCAAGTGCAATTTGATTGGCATAAGAAATGCTCACTTACAACGAGCGTTCCATCTTTCTTTCTTTTTTCGTTATTCAATTTAGGCCCCAATCACACTCAGAAGTAAATTAACATTATAGTTGAATTAAGCCATGTGACTGGTGCATGAAGAGTTAAGTAATACTTTAGAGGTTATTTTAACTCTTAATGTATCAATTAGATTACTGAATAAGACTTTAACTTTATTCACATTTCCAGTGCGATTAGGGTCTTGATATCAACCTCTTTATTTATTAAGTATGGCCATGGTCAACTGTAAATATAGATCCATATACAGTAAATGATATTATTTTTCTTCATTCTATAGAAAATAAACTTATTTAATTAGTCTACTTAGATGTGTTAATTAATTTATATTTTATGTGTTCTTTCTTGAAAAAAATGAATAATTCTTATGTATATCTTCATAAATTATATTTATTCAACATATTTCTATAGAAGATCGACAGACTATTCTCATTCTAAGACGATGACAGTCTGAAAACAACAATACTATGTAATAGTGAATACCATATTTTGTAAACCCAATTTGAGTCGAATCGAAACGAAACGAATCGAATTGATTTTTTTCGTGTTTTTAGCCGAATCGAATCGAATTACAATTTTAAAAAGACTAGAAAACCCGAATCTAATCGAATGGCACTTTTGTCATCGGTTTCGGCCTCTGACACAAGTACCATCGATGATTCTATTTCGATCTTTTATACAAATATATAAAGTTAAATATTTCAGAGAAGGCATACGACGAAGAAGCAATGGTATTTGTTCATTTTGTTGAAATTGAAAGTAGGATTTTAGTGAGAAACGTTTAAGATTAGGTAACATGTCCTAGAAAAAAGAAAAGTTTCTTCATTAGTCTAAAAGACTAAATCATAAGTACCATGGCTTGTCATGGTAATAATGTTTTCTTCGAAATATACATTCTGTCTAGGTTCCGTTCCCGAAGTAACGCCAACGTATGTGGAAAATTGTTTTTCCACATCGTCCGCAATGTTGATAACTAGATGTGGCTGTCTTTCTAATTCCTAACAGGTCAATTTATATTTACGAATTGATGGCAACCGAATATTGGGTTGGTAGAAAAGAATTCATTCTATTCAATGTTTATAATCATTTTATGATGATTATTTCTACGATTAGATTTCAATCTTTTGATTAAATCCAAATTCTTAGTACATACAAATTCAACGCCAATCAATTATACATTAGTACTTATCTGATAATTTTCGTTATTCGTATAGTATTAAAGCAAAAATGCAGTCAAGTAGTAACTATCTGTATCTCATCAGTGATATCATCATCATCAATCAAAACTAACCATGTTGTGAACAATTGTTGAAGAGCTGTCTATTGAATAAACATTAACATTAAATGTCGTCAATTGCTGGAGTCGACCATCAAGTAAATAAAGACAATCATCAAAAGCTTCTATCATGATACATAGATGAGACAGAATTGAAGAGTAAACAGTACCCAGACAGACAAAATTTTAAAAAAAACGGTGAAATACACGTAGAAATTTTAACGAAAATAAAATCGTAAAAACCGCACATTTCTACGATTTTATCTCCGTTAGCTTCTCTACGATACTGAACACGTTTAAAATCAGCGCATATTTATCAAT